GCGGGCGCGTAGGCAACGATGATGAATAGACACCTATTAGTCCCGCGAGACTTCGAAGCTTTGAATGAGCCAGTCAATCGGACTGCACACATCCGGCTAATGATTGGAATCCAATCGACCAGAGCAGCTTCAGTCCGGGGACTCAGGGCAATGCCAACACCAGCTTGGCCGGTGCTCAAAGCTGCATCATCACCGTATAGGCGCAATGAGAAAATACTGCTGGTGTCACCTGAAGGGGATCGCAGAGTGAGCACAGAGCTCGAGTCTTGCAGGCGGGTCTCCGATAAGTAGCAGATATCGATCGAGAGGGTCTCTAATGTTCGTGCAAGTACTGCCTGTTGACCGATCTGTAGCAATGTGCGTACATTGAGGCATGCCAATCTGAAGGAGAATCGAGGGCTCCAAATGGAAGCCGATGAACTGGAATGGACCGCTTGGTTGGACATGCGCTTGTCGACAGGAGAGGAGTGACGCTCCGCGTTAGCATGTGAGTTGAAGCTAGAAGATAAACGCCTAGCAAAGCATGTTGGGAAGGGCCAAGAATCGGGGGGTTGAAAACTGGGGGATAAAAGTGAAGTTGGAACGGGACCATAGGGGGAAAAAGCGTAAGAGGGGAAATAAGAAGACGGGAAGGCTTGAGCAGTAGCATCCAAACCTCTATCCACCCTGCTCGATGCAGCAGATGGGGCACCGTTGATTATCCTCTGCGGTGGCCAGAGCGTCAGGTATTTGTTTGAAGAGTGATTCCTTGTTTTGCGTGGGCAGGATACTGTCAGGTTGCCCAGGCCTAGACAGGAGAATGATTAGGGTTCTCAACCAAAGCCTTTGGTTCAAAAACCTGACCGCAAGACAGCGGGTTTGGCGTTGGGCTATAAGGTGTCCGTTTTAAGGAATAAGGTGCCACCCTCATTCCAACCCCCAAGCTGGAGGACCAGGACGCTGAGTTTGTCTGGCCTCTAACCATTGACCAATCTGGTATGAGTGACTCTGAAGGTGCAAAAATGCACCACCCAGTATAGCTCAATGGATCACTGAGGCACACAAACCATAGCACCACGGTAAGGTCCAGCCTCATTGCGACATAGTCTCTCCTAGAATGAGGACAAGGTCAGACGAGCCGTGTGTGATAGATCAATCGCACACAGCGGTGAATCATGGTATGGGGTGGCCTCATGAGCTTAGCACGAGTGTAAAACTGCGGTGGGACAAGGACAAACGTGGCCATAAAGCAAAGGGACACTGCAGGGCTGTTAGGGTGGATACACATGGGGATGGACACCAGGAAGGAGGGCAACTAAGGCGTGGGAATTGGAGTGTTCGAGGAAAGACAGTACGTAACAGCAAATACGAGCTAAACCTGGGGAGGGGAATGGGGAAGTTGGGGTAGTAAATTTGGGTCAGGCAAAGACGGTTGTCATCGAACAAGTGTACGTTACACATACCACCCCGCAAATACTGTCCGGATGCAGAATAAGCCACAACACAGATCTGTCTCAGGAGGTGGAATGGCTCAATGTTACAGCGAAAGGGCCGTGTTACGGTAAAGGATGGATCATAACATTTGCTCGAATTCTTCCTGGTATCTGCAGATGTTGTGCCCATGCTGGGCCTTGATTCCATTGAGACTTTGGGTTTCGTCTCCTTTATTCATGACCGTTCTGTTCATTCGTGTGACAATAACACAGATGGTAGACAATTATCTTAGTGTGTTTGACGATGTCGTGGTGAAATTTCAGGGGGAAGCTCACCTGACGTAAAACGAATAGGTGAGACCAGTAGCATTGCCAGCTAGGAAAGTACCTATCGTTTTGCGTGAGAAGTTCTTAGACGAGTTGCAGCGCTTGATCCGTTTGGGTGTTAGCCAAGGTTAATGAATCAATAGGTTGGGTCAGTCAGGTTGCGGTAGTCACTAAGCAGTCAAGTGGTTTACGCTTGTGCATCGATCCTAAGATGCTAAACGCCGCGCTCAGAAGAGAACATTTCACGATGCCAAAGCCAGATGACGTCCAACCGGTATTGCTCAAGGCCAAGTTATTCACAAAATTTGACCTCGCTTCTGCTTTCGGGCACATTAAGCTTGTCGAAGAGTCCAGCTAGTTAACCACGCATGGAACGCCATTTGGACGCTGCCAATGGTTGCACCTACCATTGGTTTGAAAGTATCCAGTGAAATATTTTGGAAACGCATTATGCAAACACTAGACGACCTACCGAGGGCATTATGTGTATAACAGAAGACGTGCTAGTTTTCGGAGTTACTGGAGAAGAGCATGACTGCAATGTATACAGATTGCTACAGTGCTGTGCAATCAGGGAAAGTAAACTGAAACGTGAGAAGCTTGAGTTGCGTAAAACGAAGTGGTTTTTCACGGACACGTTTTAAGTTCAAAAAGGGGGGCTGAAGACAGATCCAAAGAAAGTCAGAGCCATAAAAGAGATGCCACCCCGACAGCTGTGTGAAGGCTATGAGCAGGCTGAACGGGAGGGTGAACTATCTCAGCCGTTTTTTACTCGGACTAGCTGAAGTAATGATTCCTATGCGGAAACTGACACATACAGGCGAAAGTTGGCAGTGGACCGTAGAGCAAGAGAAAGCTTTCCAAAAGGTTAAACAGCTGATCACAAGCGTCCCCGTCCTAGCGTACCATGATCCAATACTTTCCTTGATATCCAGTGTGACAGTAGCCGGTTCGGCATCGGTGCCGTGCCAATGCAAAACGGAAAGCCCATTGATTTCCGCAGCCGAACGCTAACGGAGTCCGAACGTCGTTATAGTCAAATCGAAAAGGAAAGTATCGCGCTGATGTATGCTGTGAAGCGTGTTACTGAATAGACATTCGGCCGCCGAACTGTCTACCGAATTTACTGACCACAAACTGTTGGTATCCACAGCCAACAAAACACTCCACGCCGTTCCGCGTCGCCTGCGGCAGACGATCATTAGTCTCCAGAAGTACTACCCGGAAATCGTCTATCAACCAGAATCAAAGATTCCCATTAGAGCTACGCTATCAAGAGCATATCTTCTGGATGTGATTGTAACGCAAGAAGACCAAGACCTTGTTCATGCTACGCAGGTGGTTTCTGTCACAGAGGAGCATTTCCAGCAACTACTACGCCACACGGGAGCAGACAAACATCGGCAGTCCTTCTCCACAAACACGTGCAGCGAGTAGTCTCTTAATTGGCATACACGGCAGCATGTAACCATCATTTCGTTTGATATACACCTACGTTTTCCTGAGAGACTGAGAGACTGAGCGACACTGTCAGCCTGTCATGTTACACCGTCACGGTCACTGTTAAACAAATTAGACGGCGTGCACCCCACTTGGTTCCTGCAATTGCTATCAAGACTGTGACGGGAGTAGTCTGTCAACGACAGCTTTTCCGGACTCATTTATGCAGAAGTAGCATCTCATATTTTCACCGTCTAATTGTTACGAATTCTTATTTTGCTAAGGTGGTTTATGTGAAGGTAACATTCAGTCTACAACAGCGTTGTCACTAACCCTTTTATCATTTGCTGGGATAACATTAAGCAACTGTCGAAGCGCCACCAACATTTGAACACGGTAGCCAATGCATTATGCACTGCTGTCGAGATGTTGCAAACCACCAGCCAAAAACGTCGGCAGCGACCCAATCTGAACTGAGCGGTGTCAAAATCGCCGGGGGTAATTAACATATTTCAAGGACACATGCACCGCTATGCGTCCTCACGTCGTATTCACACCCCCAGACATGCGTGGGTGAGTAAATACAGTAGACTTACATGCCATTGGTGGGTCGGCAAATTAGTGCGCTCCAATCTCACCCTGACCTGCGCGGCTGATCTACGGCGACTGAGCAGAATCGAAAGACTCTTATCAAACGTACGGTAGATATGCGCCAAGTAGTCCATCCAAACAAATATAACAAAAATTAACCGGCTATTTAAAGCAAGTGGCGTTTTCATAAATGAACAACTAATTAACTAAACAGTTCATTCTCAAAAGCATCAAGGCACACCACCTAAGGCATGCGGAAACGTTTTTAGGCGAATGCATCGCAACCGGCACGCTGCGTTACAACCAAGGGGAAGAGGACTGCAATGTATAGAAGTTGCAGAAATAGGGAAGTGCCAGTGAGGACAAAATAGCTTGGGTTGTGACGATAGACCGGGTTCATCTGTGCGTAATGTAAAGCTCAACTATAAAAGCGTGACAAGTGAAGGTGGCAGAATGTAAAAATAGGAAATTATCTTGTACTTACGTATCAATAATAACTAAATGTGGCCATGATCAATTTACCAGTGTAAAGTTGTGGGCCTTCAGTTTATTCAGCAGAGTCATATCTACCACCGCGCAGTGCCTTTAAACGGACCGTTGTGGCTTTATATAGTAAGCACAACTACCAGGCGGAAACCCGCCACGTCCTGGAACACTGCCGTCGAACATTTTGAGCATTTATGTAAACTGGCATAGCCTCTTACATACCGAATATTTACTTGCTTGTTCGCAGTAGAGTTGCGCCCAAAGCTTTCCGTTGGCTAACTACCTGGCTTGGTCAGGGTCCGCAATTAATCGTAGAATCAACAGAGGAAATAGGGCCATGCATACTCGTGTGAAAAATTGCGCAGGCGAGCAAAGCATTTGCATAACTAGAGGTTAGGTTTTTCTGTTTTGGAATATTTTTCATGGTTGTGAAGACTTGCGACCCAACTATCCACACTGGACTTGTGTCATGGAGTTGGTGTGTATAGTTGGACGCGAGTTTAAGCTTCATTCGAATAATACGTCCTCAGGTAGTTCATGGTTATTTTTTTGAGCGACGGAGATAAGGAAATTTGAGGAAGAAACCGGCGAAAGACCGTGAAGCAACGTCGCAGAATATACCAACATGAAAGTCTAGTGTTATGCATATGCTAGCATGAGGAAAACTGGCGTACAATGTGCAACAAATAGTACGCTGGAAACTGTTTTTTCCATGTTACAAAATAGCTGCATGGGTAGATCACTGTCTTATATATAGAGACAAAGACCACGGCCAAAAGTAAGCGCAATATGTAGGATACTGGCTTGCAGCAACGCAAAGCAGATGTAGAAAGAGTAATAAGAACTGAGTCAAGGATGTTGCGGTGGTTGAATGGCATATGAACATCTGTATATCCTAAGCCAGTAGGTTGCGGCGTACAGAATAACTAGTGTCGTCAGCTAGTAAGGTTAGCTCAAGTGAGTTAAGGCAGCAGAGGGACAGGAGCCAAGCGTAGAGTAACCTGGTCTTCTTTCGTTTGTTCCTCACTTTCCCTTTTCTTGGAGGTCCGGAACTTCTTGGGGATTTGGGATTGGACTGAGGTACAACGTGTTCGCTTGAGACAGACAGAAGAACCGACAAGGACCTACATGGAGCACGGCTGTAAACCAAAGGGATTCAACTGCATTCACCACCACGACCGTTGTCCACGGTGGATAGCTGGGCACGATGTCTTCACACTCCCGGAATGTACACATAACCTGAAAAATCCAGACAAAGGTAACCTTGAAATATTTGCTCACCTGGACATTCAACAAAACCATTCTTCATGACTTTTACGCTCGACCGTTCTCACCGCTTATGGCAGCCCTGACCAAGCTACCTGAGTATGAAATCAGTCGACAAGCTGCTTTGCCAGTTGTACATTTGTGTTCAACAGGATTTACGGCGGTGTTCCAGAACGTGGTGGATTTTCGCCTGGCAAGCGTTCTTCCTATAAAAGCCACAAAACTCCGTTTAACAATAGTGCGACGTGGCGGATGCGACACACCACTAAATAAAGTCACTGTCCAGTACTAAATACTGGCAAGTCGACTAGAGTCATATTTCAATCTTTTTTTGACACGTACAATAATAAGCTATTCTCTGTTTACATATACCCTTTTCCCTATACGCATGGTGCCTTGACTGTTGGCACTATGCACACTTGAACCCAAAGTACCGTCATCTATTGACGACTTTATTTCTCATGAATGCTTTCTCCACCTCTGCCGAGTACGTATATATCAACGACTCTGTTGCGAAAAATAACTGCCCGCAAATTTAGATGATGTCTGACTTGGCGTGCCTCAAAAAATTTGAGAAGAAAGTATTTATTTATTTAGCATATTGTGCCAAAGCGCAGCCGTGCACAGATAATGGTCGGAATATTAGCCTTCACCTGACTGGTCGCATAGTAAACGTGCTCTCCCCTGTCCCAGAGTTTCACGTCTTCATCTACACCTAGAGCAGTCGCTAAATACGCATTCGAATCGGACTGACTCCCATTGACTTCCACTGCAGTGTTTAGTAGGAGTATTTTTGAGAAACTGTTTCCTAAGGAAAATTAGCTGCTCTACCCAAGTTATTGTAGAGCGCTTTTTGCTTCTAGCCAGACGCGCCACTGTTGTTGTTATACAGTTTGCACTGCTGTGACACTGTGTTCGAACAAGGAATCTTCACGCTTTCTAATGGTCCTATAATTAGATCCACACATATGTTTCTAACGAACCTACGGCTCAATCTGTCGTTTTAATTGCATTCGTTAATCATCGGCAACTTTTGCTTTCATCCACCCAGTACAAGCCAATTCCTACGATTTTGTCCCACAGGAACCAGTGTGGATCAGTAAGCTAACCAAACACCCTATACGTGTGTCCTCGTAGGGCCACATTCATCAACCGTAACGGAAATCGAGAATGCAACCTGAACAAAGAGGGCGAACTTCGTGCGCCCTCTAACTCACGTGACCAAACGAAAGCCGCGTTCATTTGCAACAACGGCCCTCAATTAAACTGATGCCGCCTGACCTCAAACGCGGTAAGCAGCATTGGACACACCTAGTCAGAATAGGCCTTAGTTGTGACATTTGCGGCCTTTCGTTACACCGCGCTCTACTGATTTAAGCCAACTACAATATAAGAGACAAATCAACTCGACTGCTTGTTTTAATTGTGGGAACACCTCTGTTAAGATTGCGTAGATGCCTGATAAGATAGTTACTGGCATGGTTGGAGCACGCCTACGGTAACGGCATGGAACGCTGACCAGTCGAACGGATTTCCGTTGACTTGATGGTGTTCGCTTAACCCGGGGTACGCGCTAGTGAGACAGAAATTGAGCGAGCGAGAGAACGATCCTAGCCGCACGTATTCGGGTAGACGCTGTGCCTTCGGAACGGACGCGCACGAGAGGTGGTCACGGTAGACGCGCACTAGTGACTTAGAGGCGAACGCTGCCCGGCTATGGACACACACAACATCACGTGACCGACCGACTCCCGACTAAGGCGAAGAGGAAGAAGGCCAAGTGATCCTCTGAAGGCTCTTTCAAGACCAAGAGACGGCAAATCACAGCCAATGCCATGGGTCATTAAGTTGGAGAAAATAGCTACCACGACGGGGTGGTAGTTTGTAGAAGAACACTGTCAGCAGGTGCGCAGTTGGGCCGCGTTTCGGGGTGACTGAACACTACTACGTTGTGTAGAGGAATTAGAGCCTGCTTCCCACAGCCAATCTGCCGGAGTTTCTGGCGCGCTTTTGCGGGGATATTTGATGAGCCCACAACACTGCTGCGCTCTGGTTTTGCTAGACATGCAGAGTAATCCCAATATTCAGGCGTATAATATCTCGTGAAAGGTTGTAATGCTAACTGAAACAGTCCAGTAGATGGCGAGGTTTAAAGTTTTGCCATTGGAATCTAACAACACCGAGCTTGTTCTATTGCAACCCCCTCATAGCTCGTGCCCTAAGTCGAAGACTATAGTCAGGCTTGCTAACCGCCCAACTGCATCTGCGACACCTACTCCGTCAGTTACTAACCCGTTACGTAGGCAAGTCACATCCAACGCTGCTGCTATTAACTCATCTCTAGAGGCCGTATCTCACGAGTTGGTCACAACACCAACAGTCCACAGCCAGGTGAACTGCACATTGAGCGTCTCGATACAAGGCCTAAAAATGCGCAGTACGTCCATTTGCTGGACTAAGTACGAGCGCTGCGACGCCGCATTCACAACATTCATTAGTACCCGCTAAACATTCCCAGTTACCAGCCACAACACTCAGTCCGACCTCCGCTAAACAAAACCATAGTTCGTTAATGGTCGCGTGCTCTAATGTTTCCTGAGTCCAGATATGGCACCATAAAGAGCTAGTTGGTAGATCATGGTAACCAGCGGCATTCCGTCTGCGATGCGATTGATATTTGGATTGGGCTAACTGGGTTGCGACGTGTAGAGCGTCCCCCGAGTTCAGTGCACTACGGCAAACACTGATTTTTCAAGTAACCTTGAACCAACTGAGGGCAGAGACCGTCCTACTCACAATGAAGTATGAATTTCTCCGAGTTAAAATGTGTTGTTTTACGAGTCCCGTTAGATTGTTGGTAGGGATATCGAAATAACCATAATGATGATAATGATGGTAAAACAGTTAGTACATTGCATATAGACTAAGGACCTATTGTTTGCGCCGCCGTAGTCCTGCAATCCGCTTAGGTTCACAGCACCCGCAGTTGACATCAAATAATTCCATGGTAAACTCCAGGTGTTGGATGGAGACGCAGCGCTGTGACAAAATGTACGTGGATGAGTGCGTCATCCAACCGTCTTTTAAATATTGTTAGAGTCTGTGTAGAGACCGATTCTGGGAGAGCATTCCACCGGTGACAGACACGAATGAAAAGGAAATTTCTACGGCAATCCAAGGGGCTATACTGTACAGTGAGTTTTCATGAGTGCCCCTCAGGGATGGATTGGTGCTGAGTCGCAGCAAAGAGCGGTACATATGATGTAACTCTCGCAGAATCAAGTATGCCATAATCAGGTCGTCTCCTAATCTGCGAGAGCTTCCACTGAATACCCCCAATCGTTGCATCCTCTCCTGGTACGGAAGATCGCGCATTTCAATTAGGTTCTTAAATACCCGAGGTTGTGGCTGCTCCAGTGCTCTTAGGTCGTGCTTCAGCCATGGATGCCAGGCTTGAATTGCGTATCCGACCTGGGGGCGAACATACGCACTGAACAGTTTTCGAACTATGGAGCTGTTTATTTGTCCAAACGCCCGTTGCAACAGCCCGACGTGTTGATTCCCAGTCTTCGAGGCCTTTTCGGATTGCGTGAACCAACGCAAGTCAGGTTTCACCAGGACAACTAAGTCACGTCCGACAACTGATGGTTGCAGTATATTCGTTCCGAGCTGGTATGTGTAGTTGTTCTAAGGTCAGATGGAAAGTACCTTGCATTTACTGACGTTGAAAGGCAGTAAGTTATGGGTTTACCATTGCTACACAGTATCTAGGTCACACTTGAGCAGATGCTTATCGGCGTTCGCCTGGATCGCGCGCCAAAACTTTGTGTCTTTGATAAACCTTAGGAAGTTAGAAGTGATTCCCTGTGCAAGGTCCTTAATCAACACCAAAACCAAACGTGTGCCTAGAATTGGGTTTTGCAGCACACCACACTCGACTTGTATGGGGTCAGATAAAGAGATCCAAACTCGGACCACTAATTGCCCTTGAAGTAAAAAGTCAGTAATCCAGTTTAAGAGAGGGTCGCCGATTCCATAATACTGGAGCTGGGAGCTAGGCGATCGAAAGCCTTCGAAAAATCCAGGTAGGTCATATCAGCTCCTTCTCCAGCGTTAGCTGCCTCGGTCCAGCTACTGCGTGCAATTAGTAAATTCATTGTGCATGGCCGCTGTCGACAGAAACTGTGCTGCTCAGGCGTGATGAGGTTAATTGTTTTCCAGATAGCACACCAGTGCATAGGAAACTATGGATTCCATGAGCTTGGAAAGTATATAAAGAAGGGATACTAGGCGGTACTTGGAGGGAGCAGTTCCGCTTCCACCTTTGTGAATTGGGGTTATTATTCCAAGCTTCCACATGTCGCGAACTTGAATCTGGTCTAAGCCGTACTGAAGGAACTAAGCTAGACGTCTTGCCAGTTGACTTGCTGCTGCTTTCATTGCCTGTGGACGTGTGGTGTCAACACCCGGCGACTTGTGTTTGCCTAGAGACCTCGGCCTTTGCAATACAGCCTCCGCGGTAAAAGTGATGTAGGTTAGTCCCGCCGAGGAGACGAAAAGGTTGGGATGTGGTTTGGTGGCATGACCCTCTGAAACGTGGGGGCAAATTGCATACGCAGCAGCTCATGTTCGCTACTCATCATGTGGTGTACGCACACTGCCAGATATTCCTTGGAAAGGACGGTCAAAAGAAAAAGGAAACCATGGCGGCTACTCTACGAACGAAAGCAAAAAATCGTGTTTATTCATGGTGTTCATAAACTACTGGGCTCTCCTGCTCACGAAGTGCCAAATCATGACCGCGTGCACTGGTGTTAAATCCGCGAAGCACTGTCTCCGGAGCAATTTATCGCTAACTCAATAGCGTTTATTCCTTCGTCTCCAAACTACAAGGGCTGCGTTCCAAAACTATTGAAAATCATACTACACTCCGAAGGAATAAGAGAAGTCCTATTGGATGGCTGGTTTAAGCA